TTTTCCTTAAGTTTAGGCTTATTTAGCGAATAGTATTCCTATAACTATACTAAGTAAGTAATTTTTTTATTTTTAATACTTTCGGTTATATTAATTTATCGGATATAATATATAATTTCTACTTTATATACTTATATTTTCTATTTTATATAAATAAAGTAATTAAATATTAAGTACTATTACTATTAAGGGTCGGCCTTTCCCTATTTTAAATAGGTATAGACGTTATAGGGGTATATAATAAGTCTCTTAAGTATTAATTATTCGTCCATTCGTATAAAGGGATATAGGCTAAATACGAATTATTTATTTATAATAAGGGTAGTTTATAAATTTCTTTAGTTGAAAGTATGTATAACGGGTCTAAGTTGTCCTTACCGATTTAATTTCCTAATAGGCTAGAAACAATTATCCTATTTCTTCCCGAAGTATTCGGGGTAATTATAAATAATATATTAGAATTATAATATTTAATAGTAGGCGAAATAAAAGGGGTATATTTATATAATATTTCCTACAACCGGTTAATATATTTTAAATAGCTCTAGGGTTTATTCTTAAGTAGTTTATAACTTCTTTTTAATAATAATAGTTCGCTTCTTCTAAAAAGCTTTCTATTTTTTATTCTTCCCGCTTTTATCCCGGTAGAATTGCTACGGCTCCGTCTAATACCCTCCGGCGGCCTGGTTGGGGTAGTTATATTAATATAAATTAATAAATTTATAATTGTTAAATCTTTTAGGTATAAATGTTAGGAGTAAAATTAGCGGCGGAGTAATACTTATTACGTATATAATTATAAAGAGAATTCGGTTAGTATTAGGGAGGTTATTAATTTTTTCTTATATTGGGGTTTAGTATATTTATATTTAGGGTATATTATTATCCTATACCTCCCTCTTAAAATCTTTTTTATTAGGTCCTTCCTATTTATATTTGTTATTAGCCTTTTATTAAGCTTCCTAATTAAAGTCTATAATTCTATTTATAACGTTTTCTAAATTGTTCTAGTTATATTTAGTGTTAGTAATTTTAATTATTTTAATTCCTTTTACTATAGCGGTTTCTATTTTCCTCTAATTTAATTATTTAGGTGTATAGTAATTTTTCTTTATATACTTAGTTTTATTATAATTAAAGTATTTAACTTTCGAAAGGTTTTATTTATTTTAATTAATTTAAGTTATATCGATTTTTATAGGTTTTAAATAGGTAGTTTTAGAAAGGTAAATTCCTTAAGTCCTTTTCTTCTTAGTATTAATATAGTAGGTTTTAGAAGGAATAAAGAGAATTACTCTTCCTTTCCTTTCCTATTCCTATTGGAATAGTTAATTGTTAATATGGATAATTATATTAATATATATATTAATAGTCTCGGAACGGTCTTCTTTATAGAGTTTATTTTTAATTCTTTCTTTAAGGCTATTATAGAATAGCTATATTAGCCTATTATTATTAATATTACTACGAAGGGCGTCCTATTTAAAGAATGCAATATAGGTTAAAGTAAATTTAATTTATTGAAGTTAGATTAAACGTTCTTAAATTTAATGAGTTTTACCCTTTTTTCTAAAGATTTGAGTAAGGGCCTTAGTAAATTCGTTATAATTATTTAGAATCTTCTTATTAAAGTCCGAAGTGTAATCCTTATTTTTATAGAAGTTTTTAAAGATAGGCTTATATTAAATAAGGGTTTTATTTACTAGCCTAGTCCCTATATAAATTACCTTATTGAATTTAAAGCTAAATTAATCTCTATAAAAGTAGAAATAAATTTATATTTAAATTAAAAATCCTACGAGAATAGATTACTATTTATTGTATTCTTTAGGTACGGTTAGTTTAAATTTGGAGCGGTTAATAAGCGCAGTATCCTTTCTTACTTTCGCTTTAGGAATATTGGATCCCGTTTCGAATTAAACTTCGAATTGGTAGATACGGTCCTATATAACCTTGAATTATTAGTATATAATAGTAAAGTTCGTAGGGTTACCCTAATAGGTAGGGTCGTTATTATTTCCGGTAATAAATATAGTAAAGCGAAGAAGTACTTTCAATTATTATCCGAAATAGGTTAAAGGGAATAATTAACGTATAACGAACGGTAGTTTAATTTGTTTAAATAAGATAGTTAAAAGTAAAAACTATTAAAATTGTTTAATAAAGCTAAAGGGTTTATAATAAGTATATTTATAATATTAGTTTTAATAATAATAATTAAGTTATATTGATTATTGTCGAATTATTTAATAATCTAAATTCTCTAATCGTCCTTTTATACTTCCCGTATTATTTATTCTATAGCTAGTTTACTTATATTATTATAATACTAATTTACTCTATAAGCCTAGCGTTGGTTTACTATCGTAAGTCCGGAATTAGCTTACTAGTATAAGCCCGGAATTAGTTTACTAGTGTAAGCCCGGAATTGGCTTACTAGTGTAAGCCCTATTTCTAATACCTTTTTTGACCCTGCCCTGGCCTATAGTTATACGAGTTAGCCTTTTTGGGTTGCTTATGCTACTAATGGTCTGGTTAGCCCGTATGCTTGCTTTAAGTTTGTAATACGATACTTCCCCTCCCTAGCCGACGTCCTCGACGGCTTGTTGGTTCTTTACCGAACGACTCTAATAGTTCTTACCTTCAGCTATCTCATTTAGGCAGATTAGACTGCCGTTCGTTACATAACCCCGAAAAAGGTATATAAAATTCTAATTTAGGTTATATAATTATATTTAGTTACTACTAGCGAGAGTAGTAATAAAGGAAAAGTATATCCGATCTTCGCTAATACTCTCGCTAATTATAACTAAAATTATATTAATTTTAGTATTAAAATTAATAAAGAATTGTATAATAAAATTAAAAAAGTTATTAAGGCGCATATAGAGAATAAAAAAAAGTATAAGTATTAATTTACTAATTCTTACTCTTTTTTATAGAGTAAATTTATTCGTAATACTAAAATTACTTTTAATTTAGCCTTTAATAAAAGAAGTTAGGGAAATATTGATTTTACCGACCGTATCCCCTTAAACGCGACCTTACTAACTATTTAATATTCTAATTATAATATTAGCCTCCCCGAATAAATTAGCAGTTTATTAGGAAGATTAAACTACCTTTATTATATTTAAATAGCGCTAATTAAATTAGCTTTAAATAAACTTCTAATAATTAAGAAAATAGTCGACTATATTACTAAAATTAGTAAAGAATTTATTATACCTATTAACTTTATTTCTTGTAAAGAGATTAAAAATATATTAAAATATACCTCTAATATATAATTTATAGTACTAAAGGCGTTGAATAAGTATTAGAATTAAATTATATAGAAAATATAAATACAATTAATAATTCTCTATATTAAATTTAAAGAAATATAAGAACTTTGTATTAAATATTTCCCTCCGACTTCGTTTACTAGTAGGAACCGTATACTTAATACTATCCCTAGTATTACTATTCCTTATAGTATTCGCTCCGGTAATCTTTCACTACTATATATACTCAGTTTAACTAGTTTATTTAATAAATTCTATTCTATAACAGCCTATTCGGATTTTCGCTTCGGTTCTTTACCTACTACCCGCTCCCTTCGCTACAATTACCTCCCTAATACCTAGGAGTAGTAGGATTCTTTATTAGAATATAAATATTTTTATTAAAATATATATTATATAAATAAGAATAAGGAGATAGATAACGAAGAGTTTAACGAGCGTTTAGTACGTTATAATTATAATTACTAAAGGATTATTATTAAATTATCGAATTAAATATTTTATTCGGAGGGTCGTACACTTTATACAATTAGTAATTAATTTAAATATAGATTATTAAATAAAGGTTCTAATAGATAGTAGGATCTTTCATATATATAATTAAATTTAATAATATTACGTAGATAGTGAATACTCTTCTCCTTTTATTAAAAGGGAGATATTATAGGGCATTTTTAGTAAATACCTAAATACTCTATCTTATTATAGTAATTACTTATTAGAGTATATAGTCTATTATATAAGAATATTTGTCCTATCAACCTCTATTAAAGTTAATAGATTATTAATTAATATTATACTAACTTAACGTCTATCTTACTTATACTCAGTAAAGTCGTATACGAGGTCCCAGGTTAAGGCTCGCGATAGCTCTTGTCTTCAATTTCCTTTAATAAGACTATCGTCAATCGTTACGTACTATTGCTCTATCTAGCAACCAGTTGCCCACTCTATCATTCTCTGTTGTCATTACTTGTGAAGCACATCTTCGCGTAACAGTTATTAACTAATTATATATCTATAAAGTATCAACATAATTGCTTGTACTAATACTCCATATTTTGACACTGAGCTCAAACATTACATCTTGCTTCCTACGGTACAGCCTGCTATGAACAAATCTTATACCTCGAGTGCTGTCTTAACTAGCAATTCGCAATCTTGACCTGCGGAACAGAAGGTTAAAGCAAACGATTCCCGTCTGATACAGTAATGACATGTCCAACAGCCCGCCAAGTTAAGCAATCACAACTGCAATCGCGATCAAGTGTCCAATTTAATTCATGGAGAATGAAAAAAGACACCAAGAAGACTGAAGTTCTCAAAGGCGTGCTGACATTCAAGATGACAAGGCAGACGACTGTGTGTGCGAACCTTGATGTCCCGTTATGGAGCTTGGAGACGCGGAGTCACGGGTTCACATGCGATAGTATCGACGGCCTGGAGACGACATGCAGCGCGGTTCAATTCGTGCACCCCCTTCCGCGCGGGTGGACGGGCCCTGTCTAGGACAATCTACGGCGGTTCGTAAAGCTCGATTGGAAGGATTGAGAAGATGGCCGTCGATATCAAAGTCAGGTAAAGGGCTAAAAACTACCCCGCTAGTAGAGACAAACGTGGAACAATCTAGGGTAGATTGCACCAAAGGTAGGTAGCAATTGTAGTCTTTCTTTTTATTATTCCTTTTGGGTAGTAAGCAAGTTCATTCATAATAATAGATAGAATCTGTATGTATTTTGACATCTAAAATTTATATAGCATTTTCAAGCCATAATGGTAGTTTGGTATACAAACAATGCAAATTTGATTCCCGCGAGTATTGTAGTTTCAACCCCTCCTCTTCTTGCCCCCTTGCTGGGCGCCGCCGCCAGTGCTCGCCGCTGCATCACCAGACGACTCCTCCTTCTTGGCGCTGGTACCGGCAAGGAAAGCAGCCATATCAAAGTTCGGCGCCGCCGGAGCGCCACCGCCGCCCATGAGAGCGTTCATGGGGTTCTTCTTCTGATTCTCCTCCCATTCAGCGCGCATTTCGGGGTCCACTGAGGGTACTGTTAGCAGCAATTACTTGGAGAGGCGGGAAAGAAGAAGCACACGTACTGTTCTCAACCAGCTTCGGCATGCCAAGGAAGATGACCATGCTGACCAAACCGAGAAGAATCATGGGGTTGCGGAGGATCGAAAGAATGGAGACTATAGAGTTCAATGCGGTTAGTATGTCAATCACCATCATGAAGTACGGCTCCCCCGTTGCAACACTCACATTTACTCCTCTCCATGAAATACCCCTTTTCTCCCAACACCTTCGCCCCAAACACCACACCTCCATCCCTCCCGTTTTTCAGCGTCTGCCTCGGCGCCTCCTCTCCCTTGTTATCCCAATCGTTACCCCGATACGTCTGCCACGCCTTCACCTCCAGCTTGACGTTGCCGTGTCCGTCCCCTTCCTCGAGCACGCCGTCCAGGGTGGGCGCCACGTCCACCCGCAGCGGAGCAAACGCGTGCGTCGCGCAGTGGATGTCCAGCAAGTACGAGCCCTGCGTGACGTTCCTGAAAACAAGCGTGTTGGCAACGCTGAGGGGGGCTGACTTGGTCTGTCCAAAGGTCGAGAGCGTGCCATGCGTTGAGGGAGGGAAGACGAAAAGCTTGCCACTGACATCACCAGGAGGGGCGGATGGGAGGGAAATGGTTATTGAGGTCTGCGGGAGGTGTTGAGCGAGCGCTGCTAGGGCGGTCGAGGCCGAGCCCAGGAAGGCGAGGGTGATGGTGACGAGTTGCATGTTGGAGTTGGGCCGATTATCGAGTTGTCGAATTTGGTTGTTTACCCGCTCTGCATACTCGAGAGAATCAAGACGACAATGAGTGCGATCACGACAAGATGGAGGAAAAGTGGTGATGCGCGCCGGATGCTTGACGTAGGTTGTATGGTAGAGGTCGCGGTCGGGGATGCACAAAAGCGACGTTTGGGTGGAGTTTTGGGCTTGGGGGAAGCTCTTAGAGGTACAAGTAGCTGTGACGAAATGGCGTAACGGGTGCGGCTCTGAAGGGACCGTGCAGGGGTTTTGATTGGCGCTGCGAGTGACACGCTCTGGGACATTTCTACACTACCTAGGTAGAGAGCCTACCACCACGAAGGGCAACAAATACCTAGTAGTAGTATCATAATGGAGCCGACATAAAGCATCATCGAATGGCTATGATTGAACCAACCATAGTAGTTTATAATTCATACACAAAAGGGATGAGAGTCAACGACATGTCAAGATATCAAAACAGCACCTCAGCTAAGCACCAGAACCAGCATCAGCACCAACACCAACAAGCAAAGTGCAAACGATAAGTGTCCAGCTCAGATCAAAAGGCAGGTAGATTCATGCACACAAAACTCCAACAACGCTGATGATGACAACGACAGCACATCCTTGGCCTTCCCAACTCCCTTTCTATAGCTTGGCCTTGTTCTGCGCAGCAGCGTTGATCTCCTCGTACATGCGGTCGATTTCGGCCCTGAACTTCCTGGCGGCCTGAGGACGCTTGAGTTTGAGACTGTGTTTGTGCATGTTAGTATCCTGCCCGAGTTCTTCACGCATGTTGTTGTAGTAGGATGACCAGAATCAGGACTTACGTTGGCGTCAAAAGCTCATTCTCAATCGTAAACGGCTCAATATCCAAATAAACATTCTTGACCTTCTCGTAGCTGTTGAACTTGTGGTTCTTGCCAATGCCATCCAGCAGTTTGAGGAAAGCCGTCTTGACACGGGGATCGTTGGCGGACTGCTTCAGCTCTTCAAGGTTTTCAGGGGCAATGTTCTTCTTGAGTATCCTGCTGGCATAGGGCGCGAAGGTGACGGGGTCGATTCCAAAGATGGCCACCAGGCTGGACTCCTTGGGATCGCCGTGCACAAACGCCATGGCAATCAGGTTGGTGCTGGCCATGTATACGTTCTCGATACGCTCGGGCGAGATGTACTCGCCCTGCGCCAGCTTGAGCACGTTCTTCTTGCGGTCGATGATCTTGAACCGGCCCATGCTGTCGACTTCGACGATGTCACCCGTGTGGAACCAGCCGTCCGCTTCAACCACCTTGGCGGTTTCTTCCGGGTTCTTGTAATACTCCTTAAACATGATGGGACCGCGCATGAGCAGCTCGCCGCGGGGGTGCGGCTTGTCGTCGATAGTGTAGTCGTAGTCTGGCACGGACTCGATGCAGAGCTCGACACAGGGGCAAGGGGGGCCAATGTTGCCGGTGGAGAAGTCGCCGGGAACCTGGGCGGTGCCCGTGGCGTACGACTCGGTCATGCCGAAGCCTTGGACGAAATCGTTGCCGAAGGCGGCGCGGAGGAACTGGTGCACGTCAGGGTCGAGCTGGGCGGAACCGCTGACCATGGTGCGGGCGCGGTCGAGGCCCACGCCCTTGAGAACCTTCTTGGTCCAGATGCGGTCATACAGGAAGTGCTTGTTGGTGGCCTTGCCGGCAGGCAGGGCCATGCTCTGCTTCTTGGCCTCCACAACGTAGCGGGACAGGGTGCCCTTGAAGCCGTCGGCGTCGATGGTGGCGGCCTGCACAGCGCTGCTGATGCGGTTGTACAGACGCGGGACGGACATGAGGCCGGTCGGGCGCAGGATCTTCATGTCCTCGACCAGGCCAGCGATGTCGCCATGGAAGTAACCGATGCTAGCGCCCTCGGTCAAAGCGGTCTGGTCGGCCATGCGACCGTAAATGTGCGCCAGGGGAAGGTAGGAGATGTGGATATCGGAGGAGAGGATGCTCTGCATCGAGCGGGCAGCAGTAATACCGGCCACACCCTGAGCATGGGTGATCAGGACACCCTTCGGGTCGCCAGTGGTGCCCGAGGTATAGTTGATGGTCAGAACATCCTCACGCTTGGGAGGCTTCATAGAGAGGCCCGACTTGACACCCAGCGCCTCAACCTCATCGATGGAGAAGATCCTGATGCCCACGTTGGAAGCGGCGGCATTGAGCAGCTCGCGCTTAGTGTGGCCAGCAGGCTCACCAGCATCCAGAGGATCCAGGGAGATAATGAGCTTCAAGGTTGGGCAACGCGGCGCGACCTTGAGGAGGGTCGGGATATGGGGCACAGAGCATGCAATGGCAGTAAGGCCACTGTGGTTGATGATGTACTCGGTGGTCTCGGGACCAAGAGTCTCGTAAAGAGAGATGGGGAACAGGGACTGGGAGAGGAGCGCAAGCTCTGTGATGCTGTTAGCATACCTCGTGCATCATCCACGTGCACGGCGCATTGTGTCCAAGTACTTGCCAGTGATCTGCCACTCGGGACGGTTCTGCGCCCACAAACCAACGCCATACTTCTCCTCGGTGAAGCCGATGGACTTGTGGATGGCGACAATGCCGGCGCCAAAGTTCTTCCTCCGCTCAGCAACCTCCCTGTAAGTGATCCAGACATACTTGGGCTCGTAGGTCTTGGTGGCAGCGTTCCATGGGCGCCATCCCAGGCACTTTTTGTTGGGCACCTTCTCAACTGATGCTTCAAAGAGATCGTGAACCGTCTGGTGAGCCGGGTCGAAGGTCTCGAGGAGAGGGCTGTTGACGAACTTCCAATGACGATAAACTGCCGTACGGTTCGGTCGCTGTGTTCCGGGAACAGGCAGGGCGTAGGGGGTCCCGGGAGGTGGCGGTTCTGCAATCGACTTGATATAAGCCGCGGTATCTTGTGTGGGCGCCATGGTTGATTACAGAAGAGGACGGACTGGGTCGCGTAGTAGTACTGTGCCGGCCAAGGAAGGAAATAATACGTATCGCAAGAGGCGCACACTGAGGTTATCGCCAACACCGTCACCGACACTTGGAAAGGTAACAAAGGGGGTTGACGGGCGCAAAAAGAAGGTCACGGTTGCTTGCTCGAGTTGGAGGGTATGGTGCTGCTGGAGAGAAACACTTGAGAAAGAGAAGAGGACTAGAGAAACAAGGGAAAACGACGTCGCAACATCAAAGAAGCAACGATGGACGGCTAACTGGAAGGCGTTCCCCTTTTCGAACATTCAATGGAGCCAAGGTGGTCCTGAGCCGAGTGTGACGAAGAGCGGAGTCCGATCCAGTCTGATGCTTAGTCTGGGGGCCGGTCCGTGGTCAATCTTTTGGTTACTTGGGATTGGTTGTCTGGAGACTTTGGCAAAAGGTACTTCGTCTCGACTTTGAAAAGTGCCGCGGCTCTTTTGGAGTTTTTGGAAGCCCAGGGATGATGCATGCCGTTCCGAAGTCCAATCGGGATCTATGTCCAACCACGGATCCATTGGATAGAGTCTCACCAGGAGAAGAAGTGGCAGTCCCATCTTGAGATCTTATTTTGTTTACCACTTACTTGGTCAGTTCTTATACTTGTCATGAATATTCCGAGTAGAGCTAAACACTGACAGACAGAGATACAAATGTACACTATGGTACTCTGTATCTGGCCATGGTGGTGTAGACATGCCGGTGATCCAATGATGTGAAGAGTGGGAAACATGAATGAAAAGTGCCCGCTGGCCATGACGATCGGGGACCCTCCACACTAAAAACAAGCCGAGGCTCACTAGACCCGCCGGGGTCAGGTGGACCAGTGGCGGCAGCCAAATGGGCTTCCTTTTAGTGCCGTCCTCTCCATGTTAACGATGGACATGCAATGGAAGCACTCCAGCCAATCATCATCCACCATTCCATCCAGCAATGCCATTTCATGCGCTTCGCTGTCTGTCGTCTGGAGTCTGAATGAGTCTTGGGGACGCGGGATTCTGCCAAACCCGTCCGATCCGCCCGATAAGTGCCTGCGGTGTGCATACAGACGGCTATGATCATCATCAACATCATTATCATCATCATCATCACACGTACAGGTTTATCACGGTAACCTTTCAACCTGTGCTGTGTGCTTTCTGCCTGTGATGCTCTGCGGTTCATTGACAGCCATTCCGTATCATGTTTAACGGCCTGTCACATGGGTTGGAATCCAGCGATTTCGTTCTGGGGAAGCTCTTGTCGAGCGGGGTTCTTCCCCAAATCTTTCCATTCCCTGACGGAGGAACCCTGATCAAACACGGGGCTGTTCTCTTGGCATTTTGTGGGGATGGATTCGTGAACCTTGTTGCCAAAAGCTTGGAGTGTGAGTTCGTCCGTCTCATCCAATACAGGAAGAGAGAGGGGATCATGTTGCACATATAGAAGCCTGATGCCGGACAGACAGACTTATCATGTGGTCTCGACAGTCAAATTCCGAGCTGATGGTAATGGAGATCCCACCGTCTCTCCCCTCCCCCCTTCCCCCCCTTCCTTCCGAGCAAAAAAGAAAATAAAAATAAAAATTCCATCCTGTCAGGCGGCTTCAACTCAGTCGACTCCAACAAAAGCGGAAAATTTCCATCGTCTGACAGCGGCCACATCGCTTTATACATGGATCCGAGAATGTCATGGCAATATTGATTTATCTCTATCAACCATGGAAAGGAATTTCTTAACCATTTGTCTTTGTTCCGCGGCCCGCACGGACGGGTTCACCTCCTTTTTTTTTTTTTTTTTTTTTTTCTTCTTCTCCTGTCACAGGGTCACTTCTGACACGATTCATGGCTGACACACATCATCGTCCACTTGAAAGAACGAAGCTCTTGTCCTGCCAAGTCGCAACTGAGCAAGCATTGCCGCAAGCGACTTTCCAGAAGTCAATAAAGAAAGGGGGGGAAAGGAGGATAAAGTGAGCTTCGAGGACTAAGCCGGGCCTATGTCTCTTGTTGCCTTGGCAATGGCGATCATACTACATAGCGGTATGTGAAGGACTCTATTCCCCTTCCCCTTTTGGATGTTCAGGGGCCTTACAGGGTGTTGCCATTGGCTCAGGGCCTCCTGGGCGCGACCTCAGCGCTACGACACGGAGCTCACCCCGTGTGCAACCTGCCTGTAGGTGTAGTGTAGTGTAGGAACCATGTTTCATGATGGCTTCATTTATATGTGACCGAAGTTTGGTCAGGTAGTATTCGAGATTTCAAGATCGGTTCAGCCGGGCGGTAACTGGGCAATGATCCAGAAGATCTCGTTGTTGGAACGGCGTAGGGGGAAAAGAACAGCCTGGGCCTCGATAAGCGATCTTGAGCTGAATGGGCTCCAAAAGCTTCTTTTCTTGCCCTTGTGTTGGTCTGTAACCTTTCTCTCTGTTTATTTATCCCTTTCTATCTCTCTTCTGCCTCATTCTTCACAGCAGGTCTGATCTTCTCTATTTGTGATACCCTTTGCCTGGAGCTTTTCTCTTTCTTTAATATAACTTCATTTTGCCCGGTGCATTTTCTTGACCTCCATCACCACGTCTACCCCGCGAGTCAGTATCAGAAAGCCAGAAAAAAGAAAAGGAAAGGGAAGAGAAAACAAAACATCTCATAATGGGCTTCAGCATCCTTCTTCCTATCAGAGTCTTTCAGGCAACCTTCTCTATAGTCATCATAGGCCTTTCAGGCTTCGGTAAGTTCAGCATCATCAATCAACGGATGGAAAAGCAACCAAGAGTCAAAGCTAACAAGTACTTCCTTTCTCCAGTCGCACATTGGTACAACACAAACACAGCCTACCTCCCCCCCTCGCCAATCAGTTTCCTCCTCTTCTGCGGCGTCTACTCCCTGCTCTCGGTTCTCTACCTCGGCCTCGTTAGCAAGCTCTTCCCCAAGACCGCTAATCCCTACGCCGTTCTCTCGCTCGAGATCACCAATCTGTTATTTTGGTTGGCCGGCTTCGCCTCCCTTTCCGTTTTCCTCAGCAAGCTTCTCTTCTGCCGCGGTAGTGTTTGCGGCGCTGCAAGAGCGGACGTCGGGATAGGTGCTTGCTTATTCGTCAGCTGGATCGTCACCGTGGCCCTGCTAGCCAGGGACGCCATCAGGTCGGGGGGCTTCGAGGGGTTCAGAAACCACGTCGGTTTCCTGAGGCACAGACGGAGCGGAAGTGGAAGTCATCATCGGTCTCCTTCCAGGGGGTCGATGGTGGGGATGTCAGCCAAGCACCCTATGCCGCTGCCAACGGCCATGATGACGAAGAAGGAGGGGGGGTATTCCCAGGTGTCGCTGGCTTGAAGACGTTGGTGGTTGTGGCTAAGTTGCATGAGCATAAGAAGGAGGAGTTGAAGAAACAGACAAGACGACATAGAGCTACACCCTCCATGGAGATGGTAACGAAGAAGGTCGTTGGTGCTTGGGATCGGAGAGGGGCGAAAGAAAGCCTCGTTCCCGTCTAAGGCCGTGCCCGGGCAGGTAGGGTTAATAAGGAAGTCATGAGGTCACGCTATCACGAGCGAGGTTTCTTCAGCTGGACTGAACCATTTCATGTATTATTCACATCAGGAAACCCGGGCGCGGTTGTTGCGCTGGGTTAATATGGGAGCAGGGGTGAGGCTCAAGGCACTAGCGTTTGGTAGCACTTTAAAACACAGCGGTCGTTGGTCGACAGAGTAGATGTTCTGATAGCAACAAAATTCTGAATAAGTGTACTTCTGGTAACTATTCCAGCCCACAAACTATAGAGCATTTCCAAACCTGAAAGTTATACGTGCCGTTGATCTTTCAGTAAATAGTTCTTCATCATGACCACATGCGAGATCGGACGCAGAACCGGCGTACTGGAAGCAAAGCGCACGAGTATGTATTCTCGTCAGGAATTTACATTTACCCTTCTTTGTGATATCTCAATGGGAACGATGTGGGCTTGCTTCCTGTCGTTTGTCTGTTCTTGTTTGACGACATTAGCAGAGGTCTGTCAGAGGATAAGGTAAACCCTCAACGGTTAGGATAGAGGTACAAAAGTGATCGACACTCTTCAATCCAGCCGTGGTTTAGGTTTGTTGCCGTGATAAAAGCCATAGATGACGAACAGGTCTCAGCTGAGCGTTGTCTGGGTTGAAGTTATTGCCCTCCACCTCCTAGTAGCAGGCGAGGTAGGATAGGATAGGACTTTGACACAGCTCAGGGAGGGGTAAAACTTTCCACCTACAAACCTCAGCATCACTTCTTAACATCACATGATATTTCCACCTCTTCCTGAACCCAGGACAGCAAAACAAATCACGGACAAAACTGTTATTTTCAAAATACAGGTACCTGGGGAGCTGGGTCAGAAGTTCATGTAGGCCGTTGATCGGCCTAGTTGCCCCGCATTGCGTGCTTGAGCTGCTGGAGACTCAACCCCACACTTTTCCCAATTGGGACAGCACAGGTATCTCTACGTCTCAGGGCCCTCAAGGTACCCAGTACCTGTAGATCGCCATCAACCCCAACCGACGTTTTGCGTGTATTAATGAGGGCAGAACGCGTGATCATCAGCTAATGGAGACTCAAGATCGGACGAAGCCACAGCATGATCAGGTACCAAATACCTCAACCTCTGCATGTCCGGCCGGAGTCAGTTTTGGACCAGCTATGCGGCGAGACAAAGAGTAGAAGAAGAAGACATTACCCGAATCCCAATAGATCCTGAATCCCGTCTTGAATCCCCTTCCGTTCATTCACCTCTTCGTCCTCTTTCCTTCCTCTCATAGAGCCCATATCTGATCCTGTCAACCGAAGAGCCCCGAGGTTCCGAACTACTTACCTCTAGTTCTCGCCACTTCTGACCTGACTACTCTGCTGCATCACCATCATCACAACCATGAGCCATCACTTTGAGACTCTCCAGGTCCACGCGGGGCACGTTGAACATGTCTCCAGGCTGTGTCGGGATCTCTTCCCGATAGATCATTGACTGACATTCATCCTAGCCAGGAGCCCGACCCGGCAACTAAATCCCGTGCTGTACCAATCTACGCCACTTCTGTAAGTCGACAATATCTCGCCTACGAGGCATACGAGCTCAAGGGGGGCAAAAATGTTGACCAGTCAAGTCGTATGTTTTTAATGACAGCGCTCACGGGGCGCGACTGTTCGGGCTCAAGGAGTTTGGAAACATCTACTCCAGAATCATGAAGTGAGCCAAAGCAAGAAAACTTGAACCGAAGTCGAAACAAGTGTTCTAACACTGGTACCAGCCCTACCGTTGATGTCTTTGAGAAGCGCATAGTTGCCCTTGAGGGAGGGCTGGCAGCAATCGCTACTGCAAGCGGTCAAGCAGCTCAGTTCATGGCGATTTCTGGGGTCGCCTGCGCCGGTGATAACATTGTTTCGACCTCCAACCTGTACGGTGGTACCTACAACCAGCTTAAAGTCATGCTCCCCCGCTACGGCATCCAGACCAAGTTTGTCACTGGTGACAAGCCCGAGGACCTTGCCGCAGCCATTGATGAGAAGACTAAAGCTGTCTATCTCGAGAGCATTGGCAATCCCCGCTATAACATCCCCGACTTCGAGGCCATCACCAAGCTTGCCCACGAGAAGGGCGTCCCTGTTATCGTGAGTTTAACAGTTGTCTACTACATGCTCACCGGAGAACGTTTGCTAATTTCGGCTCTCCCTAGGTCGACAACACTTTCGGTGCTGGCGGCTACTTTGTCCAACCGTTACAATTCGGTGCTGATATCGTCGTGCACTCAGCGACCAAGTGGATCGGAGGACACGGAACAACGGTCGCGGGCGTAATAGTGGATAGCGGTAGGTTCGACTGGGGCAAGCACGCCGACCGGTTCCCCCAGATGGTTGAGCCGTCCGAGGGTTACCACGGGCTCAAGTTCTGGGAGACCTTTGGTCCCATGGCCTACATCACCCGCGTGCGTGTCGAAATTTTGCGGGATCTAGGCGCGTGTCTCAACCCGTTTGCCGCTCAGCAGCTCCTCCTCGGTCTCGAGACGCTGTCGCTCCGCTGCGAACGGCACGCCCAGAACGCACTCGCGCTGGCCCGCTATCTCGAGAAGAGCCCGTACGTGAGCTGGGTGTCGTACCCGGGGCTCGAGAGCCACGGGTCGCACGAGAACGCCAAAAAGTACCTCAAGCGCGGTTTCGGCGGCGTGCTTAGTTTCGGCGTCAAAGGCGGCGCTTCGGCTGGCAGCCAGGTTGTCGATGGCTTCAAGCTCATCTCTAATCTAGCCAATGTCGGTGATTGTAAAACACTGGCTATCCACCCTTGGTCCACCACGCACGAGCAGCTGACGGACGAGGAGAAGATCAGCTCGGGTGTCACGGAGGATCTGATTCGCATCTCGGTTGGCATTGAGCATATTGATGATATAATTGCGGACTTTGATCAGTCCTTTGCAAATGCGGCGGCGACTTCGGCCAAGGAGGAGGGTGAGAAGGGCTTGGTGGTTGGTCAGGGCAAGGTTGAGGAGGCTGCACCTACTGTTATCTAAGTGATACCCCTTTGAGATTTGGGAAAGCGTTGTTCTTTTGAATTGATAGCGACAGAATAACTTATTCCCCCTTTGCAAATGTTGTTGGGCCGCAATGAAGTGTCTGGGAATGTAATTACTGATTGAAAGTTTAGGCGTCAAGCCAAAATTGCCAATCGGATAGGTTCGCCCAAGTGTCCTTGGTCAGAATTTAATGGTAACTAGAGTATACTACTGTGTATGCAGGTAATTTGAATGACTTCCATTTTGAGGACCACAATTTCGCACAATAACAGACGAAAAGGGTGTCTCGAAAGAGCCAAAAACATGCTTTTTGCATTCATTTATTGCGCATAGCTTAGATGTGTTCCTAGGTATCTCATTCCATCTACTCTTTGTCTATATCCATTCCGTAGTAAAACGCCTTTTGGGTACCTTATGATCGGGGATAACCAGAAAAAGACACACGCTCCTTATCTTCCATACCTTATCATACATCCACACCCGCAACCCAATCCATCCAACCATCTACTAGTTCTGCTCTTTTACCTCTAACTACTCACTCACTGACCACCACCACTACCAGCAGCAGTAGCAAGCTTCTCCCTAGCCATCCTCTTCTTCTCTTTCTTAACACCCTTCATAGCCTTCCTCGGCCTCTTTCTGCCATCCGACTTGGGTTCGTTCAACAGCCATGCGCCCATAGGCGGTCTAGACCCGATGAACTTGCCTTCGGGGCTGTAGACATCGATGATGGGCCAGTTGAGCTTGATTTCTTCTTCCTCGTCTTCCTTCTTTTTCCTCTGCTTGTATTCCTCTTCCGTCTCTTCTACTACTTCTGCGTCTTTAAGACGGGGCGGGGCCAGTGGGTCCTCTTCGTCTTCCGACTTAGGTGCAGGTTTAGGCTTGGGCTTGGGTTCGTCGTTGGGGTCGGAAAGATCGAGGTGGTCTAGTCGGAAGGGATCTTGGAAGGCGGAAGAGGACTTTCTGGATTTGGAAGGGGATGGAAGGGGATCGGTCCAGTATTCTTCCTTCTTTACAGTTTCGTTCGTGTTCATAGTTTCGGGAGTTTCCTCTTCTTCCATTTCGATTTCCTCCTCAGGCTGCTCGTCTCTGTACGGGTTGTACTGCAAACTCTTGGCCCTGACCTGCGCGACAACCTCCACCCATCCGACACCCTCGATCAGGATGTCAATCGACAGCACACGGAACGGCAGGCTATCAACCTTGAACCCGCAGGCGTTCTTCCTCGTCAACGGCCCGCTGCGCTGCTTCGTCACGTCGTACTTGAGCGCAAACGAGCCGGCATGCTTGATCTTCTCGGCCGTCTCGGGGAGCGCAATGTTCTCCACGTTGGGCCTGTCCTCCCGCAGTTCTTGCACCGCAATGGCTTTTTCGGTTCCCGTAACATGCGCCTCGATGGGCGTGAAGGAGTAGGCGAGGAAGGTGACGTCTGGGGTCTTGGGCGTGATGCGGATGAAGCCACCGACCAGCAGGGATTGACCGGGCTTGAGGACGGCCTGCTCAGGGATAACACGCATCTTCATGACGAGATCAGCACGCTTCTCGGGCTTGATGTAAAGTTCCAGGTCGCCGCGAGATAGACCGGGTAGGTCGATTAGTTCGCCCTTGCCGTTGCCGAAGGGGACGCGGACTGGAGAGGCGGTGGTACCTGGTAGGTCAGAAACGATGGGCATGGCTGGATAGTTAGTTTCTGGCTGGGCGGGCGGGAGGAGGGCATCATCGCCCTCGTCCAACTTGCCGTATGTGATGTTATTATTGCGAAAGGCGGGGAGAACAGGAAGCTTTTGATTTTCTTGCCAGTTCATGCGACCCTGAGGGAAGATATCGTGGAAGAGCCGGCTCTTGCCTACGTTTACCCGCCCAACCATCCAGTTGGCACCGCCATGCTCAAAGATCTCTTCCTTGAGTTCCTTTGTCCACCAATTCCGACGTGCGCTGACACACACGACGTTGCCGAGTCTGACCCTATTGCCAATTCGGCCGAGCGCTTGGCGCAATGTCTCGACCAAGTATGGCTTCAGCCTATCCACCTGCTCCTTTTTGGGCGCAAGCAGATCCGATCTGGTGATAATGAAGCTCAAGTTTATCTGGCGACCGGCATGCCATGTCTCGGACTTTGCTCTTCTGTTCCTCGACCGAATTGGCAGGGTGCCCACTAGTCGCTCGAGCTTGGGAATCAGGGACATGGGGAAGTCAGCGGCGTCAACAACGTGGTACACATGGTTGTATTTGTATGGCGATTCTTCGATGGTGGCTCTGAGAGAGTCAATGCCGGGATGGAAGATGGAGTTGCCCTTGCGGTGATGGATCAATTCGTGGCAGCGATCGCAAAGGGGAGGGTGGGGAGGACCCTCGGGTTCGGGGGACGTCTTGTTTGCTTGGTAGTCTCTAGGCAGCAAAGACTTCAGGTCAACACCTCTCCGTTCCAGTTCCTCCATATCAATGTTCTTGAGCACATCTTCAATGACCCGATCTGAACTGCGTATGACTTTTCTTTTCTCTGGTTCGATGAGGCCCAAATATTCCTTCACAGCCTTGCGCGACAGGTCAAAGTAGCCTGCTTGTTCTGGAACTGTCGTTTGTGACAGAGCTCCGCAGCCTGTACACTGAATCGGGAGGGTTCGTATTGGCTCTTTCTCGGCGTGAAGAGGTTCGGTCGGGGTATGAGCCTCGGGGCTTGGTTCAGTATGAAGTCTTCGGCATTGAATCGAGGGGATAGCGTGGTTAGAGCGACGAGGGCTTTGGCCGATGTTCGCGACTGGTCGGAAGGCAGGACAGAGATAAAGAGGAAGCTTGGCCGCTGCGTTCGAGGTCGTGGTACATCGGTCGAGACAGAAGGCTCTGGACAGCCACCTGGAACTGAGGGTGCGCCCGGGTTGTAATGGCATGACGTCGTTCTCGGGTTGGCCGTTGCAGCTCTATGAGACTGTCGTGAGGGTGGATGAGTAAAGATATCCAGAAACCTAAAAGTTCCGCCGGCCTAAATTAGTAGGTAGTTGATTGGGGTCCAAAACTCTGCCTGACGATTTCATCTGATGAACACCGGAGGGAAAGAAACAAATGGGGACCAATGCTCCTGGACCTCGCCGCTCTTCCACCAGCGTCCCAAATCATATCGAACCCTTCCATTCGACTCGGCTTCGTTGCGACCGAACTTTTTAGTGGGTCTTTGCAAATGCCCCGTCGTTTCAATTGGCACTCAGGTCGCGGGACTTCTTGGGCCCCACACTCTGCGATTGGGCTTCCGGCAGGCAATGATGCCGGGCGGTGAGTGCTCCAAGAGCGTTGACGGGCCGGCAAAAAATCGACGGGCCCATGTCGCGGCATGGCGTTGAGGTCGTCGCTCGGTGAGTGCAGTGTTGACCCGAACTGCGACTCCAATCTCCAAGTCCCGCCTAGGCCTATCTCTCAGGAACTGTCCCCAGTAAACGCACCTTTGTTTGCTCGTGCCCACTGCAGCAACCTCTCCGGCTCGACAGTATTCAAAATGGTCGGCGTTATTCGGCGTCTCAATGTCGTCAGGGAAGTGAGTATCCTCTAGGTCAAGGCCAACCAACCACAAAGAGTATAACTAATAGCTAATGCTAACAACCACTACAGAAGGTAAATACGATCACAACTTGAACCACCTCACCTTCACGACAGCGCATGCGCAACATGTTCGGCACCTCGTCTTCACTACCGCGACCATCATGACAATGCTGACGTGCGGCTTCAGCTCTTGAACATTCGCGCCGGGCCGGGGGCTGCCCTCCTCCCCAAGGAGGTCACCAAGGTGCACATGCAGTTTGCTCACAGGATAGAGGAAGGCCACATGGGTCCTAGGTTCGCGCAGACTCCTACAGCGTGCTCGGCAACCAACTAATGGCCTTGTTTTTGCAGGAAGTTCTGGAGAGAAAACCTCCCCAAGCTCAAGTACTGGAATCCCGCGGTCCCCATAGTGATCAACAGGACAACCGACCAGAAGGGTCCCGCCGTCATGACCATCTACTTCCGCGACGACAAGGATGCTAAGCCCTCTTCGACTCCATTCCCCACGTCCTCTGCCGACGGTTCATCTCCAGCCCCTAAACCTGCCCAGGGCGAGAGGATAGTCACAATCGACATGAAGAACCGCAACTCGTCCGTTATCCTTAAGGAATTTCTGGACAAGACTGGTGCCGTTGCAGTTCAGCCGACGGCCAAGGACGAGGAGGAGTTCCGCGAGTTCGAGGACCTTCATAGGAGGTCCGAGATTGACCGCGAGCGCATCAGGAAGATGAACGATGCGAAGAAGAGAGAGAAGGCTATGTTGGCCAAGGCCATGAGCGACGCCCAGTCCATCAAGGCTGCTTCCGCATAAGTCATGCGCTAGCCACCACCGTATGTATGGAAAAAGAGAAAGGGACATCGTTTGGGTTGTGTATATCATATGTACAAGTATTTTGGGAAATTCATGTCAAATACCACCAAGCAGGAGCATTTTGGGACCGTCCCGGCTAGCTGGGTCAACTGGGGCGTTTGGGGAAAAGGAGGGTGGGGGGGAGGGGGAGGCTCCAACGAGGGTCAGGCCGATCGCTGATGCCATCTCGATATGTGCGACGCCAAGCATATGGCCGAGCCAAGAGGTGTTTCTCATCAGCTTTTATGTCTGACACCGTTCTTCACTCCTCGATGGATTGACGCTCCTGGCACCCGGACAGCTGAGCTCGTCCCCCCTCAATCATCGGTATCAGATCTGTGATCGACGATACTCCGTACATAACAGCCATGGCTCCCTCCCAGGTCTCCGGGCCCCGATCCCCGGTTCCCTAATAATGGACATTGAAACAGAGCATCCTGGACGAAGGACTCTTTTACGCAGCCGGAATCGGGTCTAGCCCATTCTTGCGCGCCGACCCCGCATAGCAGCCCCACGGAACGACTTCCGGATAGGTCGAGAACCCGACATCTCCATTTCGCGACTTGCCGTGCGTCCGTGCCTGCGATGCTGCGCCGGTATTATCGCCGACTAGGTCAAATAGTCTCATTATTTTGCTGCTAGGATCGCGGCCGCCTTCCGGCAGGGAACCACGAGCACGATTTACCCACAGCATCCATCTCGGTTTTGTCTCGCCCGGTGGCCTCGTGTCACTCCCCTTGTCAATTCAAGATGGTCATTCATTATAAGGGAGTAGAGACCCCGTCCCAACATGAAGTTCCCATGTGGTGTACTAGTCTTTTGCTGTCGGTAGATGAACTACCCAGTGCTTCGTCAAAATCAGACTGTCCAATATCTATCTTTACATGTATGTTCACCGTCTTTTCTTCTTCAGCTCTGATCTCTCTATATCCCCCATAAACTTTCATAGGTTGTATGAGTCTGTTGTGTGAAAGGATTCATACCCTTTTCAGTGACTTGGCTGTCTTGTTGCCGAGCTAGCAGGTGAGTAAGGACTCTTCAACACTTCATCATATGCATGAATTTGAGCCCAAGGATGGCTGACCGTTACTGCTCTTATCTAACAGATGATCAAGACTACCCAACAGAGCTGAGGTTGAAAACAGTCTGTGCCAGATAGACATGATTCAACATTCGCCCTCCATGGATAGCGTAGTTCGGTGTCTGGTCAACGACTCGCGACTGGAGATCATGCTCGTCAGGATAGTGAAGTGTACAGCTGAGTTAGTCTACGCCCCATATCAAATCTCACCTTTTCCGCGACCTTGACTGACAATTCTTTTCCTCGTAACCACAAACAGTAGTTTCAGCATGTCGGTAGAATACCAAGTAACCGCCACCGGCCCGGTCGGTTCCGTGGTCGACGCCATGCTTGTCGACCTCGTCTACCTCGACCGGCCCTTCGGCAAGGTGCAGCTGCCCCAGACGAAGACGCGCTTCAACGGCACCGACGTGCACTTTTACGACCAGACCATCCACGTCACCGACATGTCCATCTGGCTGCAGCTCTTATCGGACCTCACTCACAAGGAGAAATTGGTGTACCATCTCCGCAATGGCGAGGCCCATCTCAAGGGCCCGTTTGGGACGACAGCGCAGTGTGGGTACAACAAGGATATCCATGTGTTGGGGATGAACGGGCTCCCAGTCCTGATCAAGGATGTGGATCGGGAGGAAAGGAAGGTCACGCTGACCATGAGAAATCTGAGCACCTTTGAGCTTGACTATGGTCCGACGGTCTTTGAGATTCAGGAGGGTGGAGGGAAAGGGCAGTGGAGAACGATTGCGAGGTTGAAGGGCGACTTCTTTACTAAGCGGGGAGAATTTCATGTTGCCTTGGAGGTCGAGACGGTATCATTGGACGGCGAAATCGACCACGCTCAAGGGGGTGAGGTGAAGGAGGGTGGGATGAGGCCAGCAGCAAAGACGTTGGGGTTGGATGCGGAAAAGACATACCATTTCCAAGGCGTTGGAACGGACAAGGAGGGAGCATGGACAAATGAAGCGATCAAGTTTATTCGAAGCCCGATCTTGTTGACGGAAAGATTTATTTCTTTGTACTGACAGGCCAAAGGCGATGGGATCGAAATACTTTCAAGGCTGATTGGACAGTGGGACCTCGATTTTCAGGGGAAGTAAACAAAACCCAAAACCTACATATGGTGCGTGGATGATGTCGGTGTTCTTTTCTTTTCGCTGTTACTTGGGCTTCGGCAGAATAGCCAACCACCATTCGTTTGCAGGCCTTCCTTCCACTTCAATTGGTAGATCACAGCCTAAAGGAGCATGGATATGTTGGTGCATCTGGAAGGCACGGTGCAGCTGAAACCAAGCCTAGAATTGTGAGGGGGAAGCTGCAATTGTTATAGCTCTACGAGGGATCCAAGCCTTGGAATACAGAAGCAAGATGCAACAGCCCAGTGTCCTTATGCCCGACAAAATGCCGTAGAGACAGATATGATACAACACCAGGTTTGTGGCGGCTCAACAATCACCTCAGAGTTTAGGTTCGTTCACATGGAAATCCTCTTCAAGTGAAAATGGCCGATGAAACGCCCCGGAGCTCTTGAAGCCCTCCCGAGCTCTCCCGTCGATCCGGGAGATCCATCACTCTGGTTCAGCAGGGCCGCATTCTTTAGTGCATCCCGTCATGCCCTGGAGTCTCGCCAGGGTCCCGTCAGCCCAGTGAAATGGCACCCCACAAAAGTGAACGAACGGCCCTGGCCGATGTGGCTCGCTGGCCAATCAGATGCAACTTCACCACCTGTAACGCTGCGCCTGCGGCGGACTGCGGGCCCCATGGAACCAAGAGGCCACGAAGAACAAGTGTCCATCAACGAGACAGGCCCGGACGGAATGCATCCTCCCTTTTTGGTCATGTCCCGGTGTTTTTACGAGTCGAAAAAGTGTCCAGTCTCGAGGCTTCTGCAGCACTGCAGCTCCTCCTCCTTCTTCTCCTCTACCTACTTACTTTTCCTCCTCTAGTCATCTTCTTCTCCACCCCATTTCAGTTTCGTCTTTCAAGGACGAGCTTTCAGCCACACCCGGCAGCCCCCTTTGTTTCCTTCTCACCCCTCCATTTCAACCTTCCCGAACGCAATCGTGTTCTCCTTTCGGCGGCACATCGTCGATTGTTTGGGCTTCGACCTTTTCCGGACCATTGATCTTCACGCCCACTTTCCTGTTCGTTGCCTGACGTTTAAACCTCCAAGCATCAGCTGGGAACAAAGGTACCTTGCTGACTTCGAGGATCCTCTTCTCTGACAAAGGCCCACGGTTCCCCCCTCTTGTTATATATTCTTAGCGCCTTGTCCCTCTACACCACACACTTCGTTAACTATACTGCCACGCGTCCGTTCTACACTCTCGTTAAATCCATCTCTTTCTCTTCCATGATCGGCCTTGCCATCAAACTACCACCTACGGCCTAAGCGATCCCCGATTAGATTGATATCTCTTCCTCCACGCCCACGATCGATCTAGACACTCTGAAGCTCCCTTGAGCGAACTTGCACCATGGCGACCCCGACGGATGGCTCCGAGCGAGCCACCACGGCCTCCGGTGCCGATCCCTTTGGAGATGCGGCCCGGAGACGCAACATTCCTCCAGTCGCTCCTACTGCTACCGAAAAGCCCCAGCCCGAGGATAAGAAGAAGGCTCTGGTTCCCGTGAAGAAGGTCCGTAGCTAGCCTGTGACCCAATCTTACACCTTATCCATGCTAATCAACATCTGTATTTTAGGAGCAGAGCTTCCTTGATTGTATTGCGAGCTGGGAGTGGATCGTTGCCCCCGTCGTCTTCACGTTCCTGGCTTTCTTTACGCGTTTCTGGCAGATTGGTCTTTCCCCCATCGTGACATGGGACGAAGCTCAGTAAGCACACCCGCCTATCCAGACCCCATAGATTGCGAGGCTAGCTAACACGATACAACGTACAGTTTCGGAAAGTTTGGTAGCCATTACCTCAAGCGCGAATTCTACTTCGATGTTCACCCTCCTGCCGGAAAGCTCCTCGTTGGTCTGAGCGGATTGCTTGCGGGCTACAATGGATCTTTCGAGTTCAAGTCCGGCGAGACTTATCCCGAGGAAATCAACTACACCTTCATGCGCCAGTTCAACGCTTTTTGGGGTGCCGTGTGCGTTCCCCTGGCCTACTTTACCGCCAAGGCGCTTCACTTCAAGCTCCCTGCCGTCTGGCTCGTCACTCTCATGGTTCTTTGCGAGAACTCGTACACCACCATCAGCCGCTTCATCCTCCTCGATTCTATGCTCCTCTTCGGTACCGTGGCCACCACTTTGTGCTGGGCCAAGTTCCATAACCTACGCAAGAAGAGCTTCACGCCTGAGTGGGCCTTCTGGTTGTTCCTGACTGGTCTCAGCATCGGCTTTGTCTGCAGCGTCAAGTGGGTTGGACTCTTCGTTACCGCTCTGGTCGGTCTCTACACCATTGAGGACCTCTGGAACAAGTTCGGCGATACCAAGATGCCCGTCAAGGTTCTTGCTGCCCATGTTGCCGCTCGCGTCAGCTGCCTCATTATCTTGCCCTTTGCGGTTTACCTTTTGAGCTTTGCCATCCACTTCTGGGTTTTGACCAACTCCGGCCCCGGCGATGCCCAGATGCCCTCGCTCTTCCAGGCTAACTTGAGAGGCACTGAGGTTGGCAGGGACAGCCCTTTGGAGCTTGCTATCGGCTCCCGCGTGACCATCAAGAACATGGGCTATGGTGGTGGCCTGCTTCACAGTCACGTTCAGACCTACCCTGAGGGTTCTAACCAACAACAAGTGACCTGCTATCACCACAAGGATGCCAACAACGACTGGTTCTTCTACCCTAACCGCAGGGAGCAGGCTTATGACGAGAACTCTGACGAGATTCGTTACATTGGTGATGGCAGCACCGTTCGCCTTATCCATGCCCAGACCGGCCGCAACCTCCACTCCCACGAGATCCCCGCTCCCATGACCAAGAGCGACAAGGAGGTTTCTTGCTATGGCAACCTTACCGTTGGTGATGAGAAGGACCACTGGAAGATTGAGGTCGTCAAGGATACCAATTCTCGCGATCGCTCCAAGATCCGCACTCTCACCACTGCCTTCCGCTTGAAGCACGAGGTTTTGGGATGCTACCTCCGCGCTGGAACCGTCAATCTTCCCCAGTGGGGTTTCAAGCAGATCGAGACTACCTGCACCAAGACCAACAACCCTCGTGACACCTACACTCACTGGAACGTCGAGTCCCATACTAACCCCAAGCGTAAGTTTGACCCGTAATTGAGGGTGGCTTTGTTCCTTCTGCTAACAGACACCAGTGCCTCCTGCTGAACCCGGTCAGTACAAGAGTCAATTCCTTCAGGACTTCATTCACTTGGTATGTATCTCCGTTCCCATCTGCTTCTAGGAAATCCTCCTAACCTGCGTGACAGAACGTTGCCATGATGACCTCGAACAACGCTCTTGTTCCCGATCCTGACAAGCAGGACGATTTGGCTTCCCAATGGTGGCAGTGGCCTATTCTTCACGTTGGCTTGAGAATGTGCAGCTGGGATGACAAGACTGTCAAGTATTTCCTGCTTGGCAATCCTCTCGTCTACTGGGGCTCCACTGCCGCTCTTGGAGTATTTGGCCTTCTTGTTGTTTGGTACACTCTCCGCTGGCAGCGTGGCTACAAGGAGCTCGGCCAGGACGGCATTGACCAGATCCACTACGCCGGAGTCTACCCTGTCATCGGCTGGTTCCTCCACTACTTGCCCTTCATCGTCATGGGCCGTGTCACCTACGTCCATCACTATTACCCGGCGCTCTACTTCGCCATCCTCTGCTTCGGTTTCCTTGCTGACTGGTTCCTCAGAGCCAAGAGCAAGCTTACCCAGGGCATTGCCTATGGTATCCTCTATGCGACAGTTATTGGGCTTTACATCTTCTTCATGCCCATCAGCTGGGGAATGGTCGGCCCGAACCAGCAGTACAAGTACATGAAGTGGTTCGATAACTGGAGGATCTCGGATTAGATGTGGTGATTGGGATGGAAACTATGGTCAGCCCCGTTCTCGGTTGGCAATCATCACAGCAACAGTCTTCCTGTAACTGCTGCTATTCCAAAAGTGTACCAAATTCTGTGCATCTGCATTGACAACATTTTATTTCCTTTTAAGTTTGATCTAAAACAAAAAGAACAGTGGGCTATAGAAAAATGGGAAACAATTCACTAGTGTGTCTACTGGAGGGTATTTGTCGAGATATTTGCCTGTTGCAATTTGATGAAGAGTGTCTGTAACGAAAGACACTGGTTTCCTTGATGTAATAGATCAGGGCCATCAAAATTGCGTATTAGGGCAAGTCATATACTCAGAAACACGGTACACTTGTCGACTAGCCATTTGGTAGTAGTGATTAGAAAGTCTATCGTTCTGCCTGCGTTCCCGGTATCAAGGCCCGATACCCCTTGTTGAAAGTGCAGATGCGTTCATCTAGGTCGAACAGGAAATCATCAGGGCAATACATCATTACATCCATCCACACGATTATCTACTTTGCTCCCGGGTTCCTGTCAATTCTGTTTCGAATTATTACGCGGCAGACCGACAGTCGTGATATCCCCACCATCGTTTCCCTTTCCCTCGCTTTTCGCATTCCCATGAAAGGTTTTGATCGTATCTCATGTGTATTTGATTCGTCCCTCTTTGCTTTCCTCCTCAAGGGGCTACCTTCACTCAACAACACCCTCCATAACCGCCCGCCTTATCCCCCGTCAACTTCACATGCGTCCCTCCCCCTCCTGCGCCGCCTCCACCTAATCCAGCACTAGGCCCCTTTACCCCGGACCGTCTATCATTCAAATCGTACTTTCCCGCCTGAATATTCTGGTATATCCTCTCGGCCACCCTCATGAACGCCTTCTCGACGTTCTCCCCGCTCTTGGCGCTCGTCTCCACGTACTCGAGCACTCCATTCCTCCTTGCCCACTCTTCCGCTTCTTTCCTCGTTACTTCTCGCTTGTTGTTTTCTCCCTCGTTTTCGTCGTTTGCTTCTGTAAGATCGGCCTTGTTGCCGACCAAGATCACCAC